ACCGCAAGGCCAGCGGCAAGTGTCCCAGATACTAGCAACAGATGGGCTGAATGCCCAGACCTGGACATAGCTATGATTTCAGATGGACCAGGTGAAACGGAGTTAGGCAGGGAAGCAGACTGGGGGAAACTGAGGGACTCACCAGAAAATAGTCCACACAGCGGAGAGCAGGCTGAGGTCCCAGGTTGGGGAAGGAGGGGGCGGGGCTGCCGGTGGCCAGTTGGGGCCCCACGCTCACGCTCCCTCCCAGGTTTCAGCGCCAAATATAAGATAAATTCTAGCCAAAATAAGCAGGTGAGGAGAGGCAACAAAGGGCCAGGTAGTTTATTTGAATGCAAACACCTGGGCGAGATTTCTCCAGTCTACAGAAATAGAGGCTGGAGAATTCGCGCATGTAAGCAGACAGGCAGTGAGTTTTTAAAGAAGGTAGGGGGAGGCAGAGCTTATATTTACAGCAGTGCGAGGATTGGCTAATGTAAGGCACATTTTTCAGGTTGGGAGGGGGCAACAGCTGGGGACTTTGACACGTCATCAGGATCCCATGTGGGAGGGGGCAGCAGCTGGGAACTTGACACGTCATCAGGGTCCGAAATGCTTGCTCTTCCCGTCAGTGCTCTCAGCCTTACATGAGGCTGTTCCTACATTGCTATACTCAAATACAGAATGAATCTCAAAATCATTATTCCAAGTGGGGAAAAAAGCCATACACAAAAGTACAAACAAAAGTGTATGATTCCTTTTACATGAAACTCTATATAGAAAACTAAGCTATAGTGACAGATATCAAGAGGGACAGTTTCCAGATGGAGGTGTCTGAACATTTAAAAAATGATCCAATATATTTTGGTTCTCAGTAGATGGAGATTACTTTGTTACTCATTCAGATAAGTTTAGAATATAAGAATATCTTCAGGAGGAATGTTATACTCCTGAATCTTTTATAAAATAATCACTACCCATATGAGAATGGATGCCAGGTAAGTACACTTTCTCCCCCAATCCCTGCTAGGATGAACTCAGTGTGAGGTTAAGACCAAGATGAATAAATTGCATTCCTTCACTTAGGTGGATTTACCAAGAATCCAGTAAGCTCAAAGTTATCAGACTAGAAGGATACGGTCAAACTCTTTGGGGCACGTTGTTCATTTTTCTCGGTTCTTGTCCCTGCCACAACAAAGAATTGAAGGGCAGAGATGCAGTAGTGAAGCAGAGTAAAAGTTTTATTTAAAGTTACACACTTAGAGAGAAACTGTGGGCTACCTCAGGAAGATGTTGGGGAAGAAGTTGGTTCGGAGATGCAGGGAAGTTAGAGTACAAGGCGAGGAAAGAATTCATTAAAGTGAGTGCCAGGGAATGACAGATCAGAATAATAAAGGAAGTTCATTGAACTGCTACTCAGCATGGGGCACATCCCCTGCTAACTCTTTAAGCTAGTGTCACCTGGCGGCAAGTGTCCAATTGGATTTGCACTGCATGGGAACAGAGTTCCTACCACCGCAGGATTTGGGGAGTTGCAGAGCACTGGATGGAGTGAGATTATTTACTGCGAACTTCCTAGAGACAAAGAAAGGAGACTTTCAGGTGGGCTCCTAAAGAGCATGACCACAAGCTGAAATTCCATCCGGGTCACCCTGGCGGCGGTAATTTGCAAGCTCAGATCTGAACTCTCAGCAGCCCCTCCTTACTTATCTGAAATAGGACAGAGGGACTGAAGGTTTGGGCTTAAATCAGGAGAATTAGAATGACAAAGCAAAGTAATAAAGACACTTACCACCGGAAAAGCGCAGAGACAAAATGTTGTAGGTTGAGCAGTGAGAAGTCTTTTTAAGGCAAAAGGTGTACACTTGGAGAAAGAGTGTGGGTTATTCCAAAGAGGTGTGCTAAAAGATTGGGAAACAGTTATGCACTAAGAAACTGTGGGTGACCTTGGACAGAGGTGCATGCCTAAGGGTTTAGGGTCTGGGGTTTTTAGGTGGTTAAGGATTTTCAGGAATGTGACAAAGGACTCAGGATGTAGACTTGTTTAGTGCTCCTGGAATGTTCATATTTGATAAGACATTAAGTTTCTTCTTTTAAGACAAGAAATTTATTGGGTGATTCCTTCCCAGGATAGCAATTTCTGTCTGGGAGCATATCAGTTAAGACCATCTGCCCTGCCTCCAAGGTGGGCTGAGTTATTGCCTGTTTGATTAAAATGCAATCTTAGCTTCAAGATGGAATTCTTCCTGAATAAGCTGGGCCTTTTAGCAGGCTAAAGTAAATCTTAAAATGCTATGAGTTTATTGACACAATAAAAACAGGCTATGCTGAGATACCTTTCTCTATCTGGGGAGTATTCAAATATTCCAGGCCAAGTTGCTCCTGGCCTTCTGAGCTTTAATTTGGGTGGGGGGGGGTGTATTGTTAATATACAATTACATGAGCAACATTATGGTTACTAGATTTCCCCCATTATCAAGTCCACCACCTAGCTTTAATTGATTAGCTCATTAACTCTGAGTCTTTTCTGGCTTTCTAGTTTTAACTGGTTAACTCTTTGAGTCCCTTCTAGTGGCTTTACTGACCTTATTCTCTTTCTTCCCTACTCATATCTATTTTCCTGCCTAACAAAACTACTACTGGTTGGTCAGAACAGATATTCTCTGTTTTGTACACCTTGCCTGGCAAATTAGGCCTCTGAGGCTTATGAAGCAGTTCAAGTTCATTATACTGTGCACTGCAATTTTGAGGCCTTTAAAGTTTACTAAGAATGTCACTGCTTGTGAGGAGCTGAGGATAAAGTGAAGATTAATGACTTCTGACAGTGGCTCTCTCACTTCTCTCTCTCTCCAAATCCTAAGGGGTGATCCTAATATAACTTGCCCCTGAAAGGGGGTGCATGCTTTCCTCAGGGCCTGCCTGTACAACCTCCCTTACTGACTCTAGGCCCATAATGGGAATAAAAATGCATCTATGCTCACCAGGTAAATTACAAGATCTAATCCAGAAATAGAAAAGCAAAACATAATGAAAACACAAAAACTTCTCAATAGTACAAGCAGAAACTAGGTCGTATATAGGAGGGGGGACCCTTAGGATATTAGACCAGGAAGGGTGAATTATATTAAGCTAGAGCCACACTTATCTTTATGAGTATACTCACTGTAGGCTCAGGAGCAGCTCACGTTGCATTTCATGTCAATGAAATACGGGCACACCTTGACTTATTGCGCTTTGCTTTGTTGCACTTTGTGGATATCGCATTCTTTACAAGAAGGTTTGAGCCAACTCTGCATCAAGCAAGTCTGTTGGTATCATATTCCCAACAGCATTTGCTTACTTGGTGGCTATCACGTCTTGGTAATTCTTGCAATATTTCAAAGTTTTTCATTATTATTTTTGTTATGGTGTTTGGGATCAGTGATTACAACTTGCTGAAAGCTAGATGGTTAGCATCTTTTAGCAATAAAGTCTTTTTTAATTAAGGGACATATATTTCTTTTTTAGACATAATGCTATACACACTTAGTAGACTACAGTGTGGTGTAAACATAACTTTTACATGTCCTGGGAAACCAAAAAATTCATTTGACTCACTTTACTGTGGTATTCATTTTATTGTGGTGAGCTGAAACCAAACCCACAATATCTCTGAGCTATCCCTGTATTTCTCTAATGGGATGCTGACAAATATTTTTTAAAACTGAGTATTTTGATGTACAACCATGTTTTATGGTGACCTGAAGGGATCTGTGGTGGTGGCTCTTTGATCATGAAGTCCATGTAAATAAAATAGATGAACACCCTACTAAGATATTTCTTGAGATATATCTATATATGCAATTCTGGGTCTCATGAGTGGCAAGCTAACACAAGTCATCCTAACAGGGATTCGGATCTACTTTTTCAGCCCTTGATTTATTTCTACTTCATAGACAGGAGGGTTCAACTGAAAAGGAGGTTGGGGCCCTTTGACAAAACTCCTCAAAGCTCAGTCACAAGTATACACAATAATTACCCTGAAGTCCCCCAGGGAGACCTGTGGCCATATACCAGTAGAATCTCCTTTGAATCAGGTCTACAATGTTTGTGGCATCGTGGGAAGTTACAGCTGCTACAATTACAGTGTCACTTTGAGGTGGTTCTGCAATGTGTATTGCAAAGAAATCTTCCCAGTGGGCAGAGTTTAAGGAGGTATATTTAGTTGTTCACTTATGAGGAAGAGACATGTCCTGAGTTTAGAGTTCTAGTGATTCATGTCCTGTAGTCCAACAAGTTGACCAGTAGTAGGGGGCTAGACAAGAATAAGATTGGAAACTTGGTGACAAGAGGTATGGAGGAGACATGAATGGATGGTCTTCTAGGAACAGGTGTTGAATGGAGTTTACAAATGCTTAGCAGAGAATTGGATATTAGAAGGAATAGAACACATGCAGTTTGGGTATTTATTCCTTTGGCTCTCTGTGCTGAGCCATGTAATGGCCATTACAGTGTTTCTCTTCCAAAGGCCACAGCTCTCCTAAGGGGTGGGGATGGGGGGCACTTCTGCCAGTTTCTGGTAATATTAGTTACCCTCACTATAGGCCTGGTGGCGATGATGGCTCCCTACCATTATTAGTTACAGAGTGTTTCGCCAAGTCTACCCATGTTTTTAGAACCCATTTGTTAGACTATACTCAAGTGTATCATTGTTTCTTGACAATTGACACACATTTCTTGAAGGGACCCTAACTAATAAGTCCCCACAACTCTGATCATAAAGTCCATGGGGGAAGGGAATTGAATCTTTTATTTGATGTTATCCCAGCATCTAAAATGTCTATTGCACAGCAGGTTTTCATTAAATGTTAAATGAACATATGTAATGCCCTTTATGTCCATCAGTGATCTTTAAAGTCTATTATGATCTAATATAGTTTGACCAGCATTTTTGTGCCTTTATTTGTAATTCATTAAAGAATGACTAAGCATTATAAATATCAGCAAAAAGCAAGCAAACTTGTATGCATGAAAATCCAAGGTAATTAACAAAAACTTGTTGAAACAGTAAGGGAATTCAGCAAGAAACAATGTTAATGTATAAAACCCAACAGCTTTCCTATATCTACACCTGCAGCTCCCATCTTCCACCCCGGTAGAACCTCCACGCTGGGATCGAGGGGCGTCAGGGCAGGCTCAGGGGTTGTGGATCTGGTGGCCATAAAGGAATAGGGTGGAGGTCCCAGGTAAAATTGTAACTTACTGCTATATAATTTCAATCCTAAATACTTGGGTAGTCATGCCTTTTCTTTTACAAAATCAATTTCCTATATAACTCCAGAATTTTTTCACTCTTCACCCAAGTAACGTAATTTTAATATTTTCAATATCCAATCCGTATTCAAGTTCCCTAATTGTCTCAAAATTGCTTACAAAAAAAATACTGTTTGAATCGGAAGCCAGTAGAAGGCCCCGCTTTGAGGTTGGCTGTAGAGTTCAAGTTTAACCCTTACCCTCTTCAATGGGACGGAACCTGGGCAGGAGACTTTTTTCTAAACGGAAACCCAACGGTGACGTCAAACGTAACACGGAGGTCCACGGGAAATATAGTCTAGAATCTCTCGGTTGGCCGCTCGGCGTCTTTTGCGCGTGTGCAGCCGTAGCCCCGCTTCCTCATTGGTCCTTTCTGGCGCCTAGCAAGGGGTCTGGGAGGTCCGGATCTGCTGAGAGAGTGAAGGGTGAGCGCCTGGGATGAGTGAGCGGGGCCAGGCAGGAGGGGTGCGCTGGTGCCTCGGACGGGAGCGGGAGTCTCTGGGACCCTTGCCCCAGCGCTGGTCTGTGCTCCCGGACGGGTTCTCGGCCGGGGGAAGGCGGCTGGAGGTCTCCGGCCCTCGGCCTCCCGGGCGCAGGTGGGGCTGAGCCCCCGTCCGGAGCAGGCGCTCGCCGCGGGCCGGGCTGTGCAGGGACCGTGTACCCGGCGCCGCCTGCAGCCTGGCCGGGAAAAGCCCGTGTGAGCGGCGGGGTGAAGGTACGTTTGTACCGCGGGCAGTGAGCGTGGGTCTGCGGTTGAGCCCAAGCTCAGAGGGAGCCAGAAATACCGGGTAAATTCCAGCTCTGTCACCTGTAAGGGGCGATAGAAGGAACCTGGTAAGAGGTTTCTCATCTGAAAATAGTATTAATAATGACTGTTCCAGGCCGTTGTTTTGATAACTAAGATTTAAATCATCACTTGTATTTAGCAAGCGCCAGGTACTAAGGACTAAGTGACGATTGCATTTATTACTAGAAGACACTGTTCTTTTCATCGGATGGTTTTTTTTGTGACCTCACAACCACTTTAATAAAACCAAGGTGTAGGTTGGTGGAACGATGTGCTCAATTAATGAGGGGTTTGGATGCAAGGGCAGCCGTACTTTTACTTCCAGCCTCAGGCTTTGTCTAAATGTCACACCATTGCAGGGCACTTAGTAAAGTGTCCTGTCCCCAAATTCCCAGGAATATAAGAGAAGGTGAATGTAGATGGGATCCTACCTGTCAAACGTATTCTGGTATTTCTAGTGTCTCTCTCGGTCCTTTGGGTCAGACAGGTTGCCGGCCCCTTGGACATTGACAGGCTTTCTGTCTTTGAAGTCTAATAAATTGAATTTCAACAGTCAGGTTTCTAACCGTAAAATGATTTGGTTTTTCAGGCCCACGTCCCAGTTGCCTTTAAACGAAGCAGCCCTTGTGCGGCAGGAAGCATGTACCTCTGTGAACAGGAATCTTCCCTGGAAGAGATCACCCCTCTGATCCTAGACCTCTCTCCAGAGATTCAGAGATGAGACAAAAGAGCCCAGATAGCAGTTCTTGATCCCTCTGCCCAGAATGAGCCAGACTTAGTGATGATGTCACCTTTAGGAGCTCTTAAACTGTGTGACAGCTCATGAGGGTGAGATCTGGGGGTAAGAGGTAACTAGGCAGAGGGAGGAAATTCCATCTCCCCTTAAGTGGCCTCCACTCCCCAAATCCTGCACTGCTGTCACATGTGCCCATCATGCCACTGGGTCCCAGAATGATGATGTATTTTTCCAAGGGCATCTACTTCTCATTCTTTTGAAAGTTTTCATTGGGTCTGAAAGGATCAGTGACTTGTCCAGGGAAATCCAGTTTGTGACAGAGTCAGAAGGAAACAATGTAGTTCACTTATTCACAGTAAGTGACTAAAAGCGTCTCATTACAAGGGCCTTCCTAGAAATACATCAGGGCAGAAATAAGCAATGAAAACTTCCTCCTTTAAAGCGTCCATCTCTCCTACTAGGCTTTCGGTGGATTGTCTGTACTGGCAGTAAATAAATTAATGAGAAAAAATAGATAAGTGATGTATATACTGAGTATTTTTTTATTAAGGTATCATTGATATACACTCTTATGAAGGTTTCACAAGAAAAACTGTGATTACATACACCTTTATTATCGAGTCCCCCCCATACCCCACTGTAGTCACTGTCCACCAGTGTAGTAAGAAGCCACAGGGTTCCTATTTGTCTTCTCTGAGCTGCACTGTCTTCCTCATGACCCCACACACACCATGTGCACTAATCATGATATCCCAGAATCCCCTTCTCCCTTCCTCCCCACTCACCCTCCCCCAACCCTCCCCTTTGGTAACCACTAGTCCCTTCTTGGAGTCTGTGAGTCTGCTGCTATTTTGTTCCTTCAGTTTTCCTTTGTTATTATACTCCACAAATGAGGGAAATCATTTGGTATTTGTCTTTCTCTGCCTGGCTTATTTCACTGAGCATAATACCCTCTAGCTCCATCCATGTTGTTACAAATGGTACGATTTACTTGTTTCTTACGTCTGAATAGTATTCCATTGTGTATATGTACCACATCTTTATCCATTCATCTACTGATGGACACTTAGGTTGCTTCCGTATCTTTTTTATTGTAAAGAGTGCTGCGATAAACATAGGGGTGCATATGTCTATTTGAATCTGAGTTGTTTTCTTTGGGTAAATTCCTAGGAGTGGAGTTTCTGGGTCAAATGGTATTTCTATTTTTAGTTTTTTGAGGAACCTCCATATTGCTTTCCACAATGGCTGATCTAGTTTACATTCCCACCAGCAGTGTAAGAGGGTTCCCCTTTCTACACATCCTCACCAGCATTTGTTGCTCCTATTCTTTTCTATGTTGGCCATCCTAACTGGTGTGAAGTGATATCTCATCGTGGTTTTCATTTGCATTTCCCTGATATTTACCAATGTGGAGCATCTTTTCATGTGCCTGTTGGCCATCTGAATTTCTTGGTAAAATATCTGTTCCTATCCTCCACGCATTTTTAATTTTTTGTTTTTTTAAATAATTTTGGTATCATTAATGTACAATTACATGAGTGACATTATAGTTACTAGACTCCCCCCATTATCAAGTCCCGACCACATACCCCATTACAGTCACAGTCCATCAGCATAGTAAGATGATATAAAATCACTACTTCTCTGTGTTGTATAGCCCTCCCAGTGCCCACTCCCCCTACACCATGTGTGCTAATCGTAAAGCCCCTTTATCTCCCTTATCCCTCCCTTCCCACCCGTCCTCCCCAGTCTCTCTCCCTTTGGTAACTTTTAGTCCATTCTTGGGTTCTGTGAGTTCTGCTGCTGTTTTGTTCCTTCAGTTTTTCTTTTGTTCTTATACTCCACAGATGAGTGAAATCATTTGGTACTTGTCCTTCTCTGCTTGGCTTATTTCACTGAGCATAATACCCTCTAGCTCCATCCATGTTGTTGCAAATGGTAGGATTTGTTTTCTTCCTATGGCTGAATAATTTTCCATTGTGTATATGTACCACATCTTCTTTATCCATTCATCTACTGATGGACACTTAGGTTGTTTCCATTTCTTGGCTATTGTAAATAGTGCTGCGATAAACATAGGGGTGCATCTGTCTTTTTCAAACTGGAGTGCTGCCTCCTTAGGGTAAATTCCTAGAAGTGGAATTCCTGGGTCAAATGGTATTTCTATTTTGAGCTTTTTGAGGAACCTCCATACTGCTTTCCACAGTGCTTGAACTAATTTGCATTCCCACCAGCAGTGTAGGAGGGTTCCCCTTTCTCCGCAACCTCACCAACATTTGTTGTTGTTTGTCTTTTGGATGGTGGCGATCCTTACTGGTGTGAGGTGGTATCTCATTGTGGTTTTAATTTGCATTTCTCTGATGACTAGCGATGTGGAGCATCTTTTCATGTGCCTGTTGGCCATTTGAATTTCTTGTTCGGAGAAGTGTCTGTTCCGATCCTCTGCCCATTTTTAAATTGGATTATTTGCTTTTTGTTTGTTGAGGTGCATGAGCTCTTTATATATTTTGGATGTCAACCCTTTATCGGATCTGTCATTTATGAATATATTCTCCCATACTGTAGGATGCTTTTTTGTTCTATTGATGGTGTCCTTTGCTGTACAGAGGTTTTTGGTTTGATATAGTCCCACTTGTTCATTTTTCCTTTTGTTTCCTTGCCCCGGGGAGATATGTTCATGAAGAAGTCACTC